AAAGAGGAATATCGGTTTTTTAGAACTTGGTCAATGCTTATAACCTACCCATCACAGCCAATCTTGTGCACACTCCTCATTCACATTGAAGCACGGACTTGGCTCCAGGCCGGAACCTGCCTTCAAGGAGTTCACTGAAGCTTGTATAGAGCAATATTTCAGTTCTTCCCTTCTCCCTCAGATTTGGCCCAAAACACAGTTAACTGTCAGCTACCACTAAAATGGGAACATTCTGAAGAGAGAACTGGGAGAAACCTAAAAAGCTACATCATAGCTATAAAAAGTGAAAACTCAGGAGGAAGGTCAAAGTGGAAAGCAGCCAATTCAGCATAAGGGCATCAAACAACCCTAGGTCTTTGTTCCATACTTACTGAAATAATTTGCCTCAAACAATACCCTTCAGTCTCTTCACTTATAAAATGGTAACATATTCATCTAAAGAGTAAAAGATAAAAAGGCTCTGATATTGTGTACAAACCAAAGAAGGTGTGCAGGATTTCTCATGACAATCTACTATGTTGACACAGTGCCAAAAGCTAATGTGATGAATTCCGTATATAAATTCCCTCTAGATATACCTTATGGAGTTAAGTATTCAAATGAAATTCCAGAAAGCAAAAAATATTGACGGTGGGGGAAAAAAAAAAAATCAATTCAAGAAAAATAGGTAAAAAGGGCTTATGACTAACTAAAACAAAACCAAACTCACTGCTGTCAAGTTGACTTCAACTCATAGTGACCCCTCCTTGGGTTTCCAAGGCAGTTATCACTACGAAAGCAGATTGCCCAATCTTCCTTCCGAGGACTAGCTAGTGGGTTGGAACCGCCAACCTTCTGGTTAATAGTCATATACCTTAGGCACTCTATCACCAGAGCTCTCTAACTAGCAGAAAAATGTTACAGCACTACCACTACCAACAACACTTTTTTAAAAACATACTGATGTCCGGGACTCCCTGTAGATCTTCTTAAACAGATCTCCAAGAATAAGGCTCCAGTAGTTTGAGATGAGAAACACTGCAGGAGTTAAAAAGGATAACTACTATGTATGATAGCAGAGGTCAGCCATCATTTTGCTAGGGATCTTTTATTTGTAAGTGAAGAACTGAAGCTAAAACAAGGAATACTTTAAAACATGGAAATAAACAAGGCTCTAAAAAAATACTCACTGCCGCCAAGTCGGATCCAACTCATAGGGACCCCTCCATGGGTTTCTGAGGCGGTATCACTACAGAAGTAGATTGCCCCATCTTCCTTCCGGAGGAGAGGCTGGTGGGTTTGAACTGCCAGTCCTCTGGTTAGCAGTCAAATGCCTTCAAGTGGCAAAGTTGCATATAGTGAATAAGGAGTCAGAAAGGGGACAAGGGATGGTACAGTAAAACAGAACCTGTGTAAGGCACAAACCTGTCAGGGAAGAAAAACGTAAATATTTCCCACTAAAATGAGTAAAGAAATGTGGTATGACTCCACCCTGTCAAAGGCAAAAAATTTGAGACTCAGAAAAACAAGCCAGTCTTGTTGAGTTCCAGCTTTTACTGTACATATGTGGTAGTGCCTTTCATAGCTAAGGACAGCCTCACAGACTGAGGAGGAACAGAGAATGAGAAAATGAAGTAAGCACAGTTGGGCCAGGGAGAAAGAGAAAAACAGCTGAGCTGGCAGAACTAGGATCTACTCAAATAAAACAGCAAAAGTGCTGGCTACTGCAAGAGGAAAGAAAGCTGAACAGATAAACAAATTTCATATTGAAGTAGGAACAGGTATGGGTCAGAGACAAAAGGACAAGGGCACTAAGAAGGAAGAGGGGACAAAATGAGATGTTAAGGAGGTAGGTTCAGCAGGACAAAGAGGTTAAGAAAGGGAAAAAGGAATGAGAATAGCAGAGCCAACAAACAGCTTCTACGGTTCAACATAAAGCAGCATGAAAAACAAGTATTTGGGGGATGGAAGAAACAAAGAAATGGGATTAGGAATAGGAGACAAAAAAACCACTACTCAAAAATCTTAAAAGACTAACTACGGATAACATGCATAAAACAAAAATGTAACAGAAGCATATCATTTAAATTCTTGAGGGTGTTAAAAGGAATGTTTCAGATAAGTTTTAGCTTTCTCATTTGATAAATGAAAAAGCTAAGCACATTTAAAAATAGGCAAAACTAAATATAGTTTAGGGATACACTAGTGATAGAACTATGAAGAAAGGCATGTTGTTATTGTTGCTATGTGCCCTCGAGTCAAACCTGACTCATAGCGACCCCTCCTTGGGTTTCTGAAGCAGTATCACAACGGAAGTAGATTGCCCAACCTTCTTGGCGAGGAGTGGCTGGTGGGTTTGAACTGCCAGCCTTCTGGTTAGCAGTCAAGTACCTTAGGCATAAGCTACCAGAGCTCCCGAAGAAAGGCATGGGAAGAATTAATACAAAATTCAATCTCATGGAAACCTCTGAGAGAGAGAAATGACGGAGATGTACAGTTTGTACATATATTATATTCATACACATATATATGCTTTTATAAGTAGAATATAGTTCATAATAAGAAACTTCAGTGAAATTTTTCTAACTCTGAATTTCCTAGTTTGTCTTCTGAAAACAATCTAAAAAATCAATTTACTAATACAATAAAATGGTTAGAGTTACTGGTCACAGGTTTTGCAACAAGGAGCTCCACCTTAGATTTAGTGAATTGAAATCTCTGGAGGTTGGGCTACTGAATCTCTCAAACGAAGAGGTCCTCCTCTTACAGTTCTCATGCTCTGCAGGTTCTAGATTCCATTCTACCCCATCCCCTAGAATTTTGCTCCTCCTCCCGCATTTTCAATCTTTGAACATCAAGTTTCTCCTATCTTAAAAGAAATACAAACATGCACAGCACTCATGTAATCAACCTGATCCTGCATTCAACTCTAAATTTCTCTTTTCCTCCCTTTCCCAATCAGAATCTTCAGTAAGCACCAATATTATATGAGATCCTGTTTAAAATCTTAAAACAGGAAGAATCCTATAATACAGATAGTCCCACTTCAGCAGCACCCACTCTTCTGATACACATAATCTTATCCTGTCTCCAGACTTTTTCTATGCATTTACATAGTATATATAAAAATACATATTTGCTTTGCTTTTTTAACAGAAATGGAACTGTACCTTACATAGTGTTTTGTAACTTACTTTCTCATTCATTTCTCAATTCAGTACTGTGCCAAAGCACTAATGACTTCCTACCATTTAAACCAACAGTCCCAGACTTCTGTAGCATTTGACACAGGTAATTCTGTCTTTGGAATCTGCCTCTTCTGCTGGATTCCATGACATTGTATTGTCTCTTGTCTCTTTTTCTCCTTGATTCTTCCTTTCTAGTTTCCTTTGCTAATTACCTTTCCCTGTTGGCTCCACGAACACTGTGTTCCCCACCATCACATCCAAGGCTTTCTTCTGTCTGTATTCATTCAAAGAGCCTTGCTACCTACCTACTTCATTACAGGAAGACAACTCTGTCAGACCCCCATTTGTCAATGGTTTTGCACCTGAAGCAATGTTTCAAAATCATTTGACAAACAAGAGTTTGCATTTTGAGCATGATATGTAATTTCACTTTGCAGTTAATGTTAACTATGTTATAGTCAGCACACCCCTATACTAAAGTAGAATAGGGAGAAATGGAGACGACTTGGGAAGAGATTATTTAAAGTGTTAATTTATATTTTCATGTTACAACAATTTTTATTCTCTACACCACCACATAATTTCAAAACCTCAGATAAGAAACTCTCAGATGATGAGGCTTACTGAATATGTTAATATTCCCCAAATCTCTAACCCAAGTCATTGTATCCAGAGCAGCAACGATATAAAATCCCTACTCAATGTAATTTCATTTTTTTGGTAAACCCCTTCTGCATTAACCTCAAATGACACATTTCCACTTAGCAGCAACAACCCCAAGGGCTCATCCACTTCTCTATCAAAAATTTGTAACAATGAATAGACTTCCTTTATATCTAAGACAAAGTCAAAAGCTTTCTTAACCAAAAAAAAAAAAAGAGAGAGAGATTGTTTAAAATTGATGTAGGAGGGATGGGAAGGAGGACAGAGAAGGAAAAGTTCTCTTTTCTGTGAAATATATTAGGATTTTATTTTAAGTATAAATAACTGAATTTCTTTCTGCTTCAAATGGACATCTGCAAATTAGCAGATGTGACCCTAGACTTGATTGTAAAAATATCACAGTATCCCCAGGAAACATGTAGGCTGTCAGAACTTAAAAACACACATACACACATTGAGAACACCGAACAACCTTGTATTACTATCTAATTACCTCGGTTTACACGTGGCAAAAGTCGACAGAAGTCTTTAATGACCTCAAAAGGGATTCCTTAGTCATCAAGTAATAAGACGTGATTTACTCTGTCGTGGGGGAGCTGACAGTATCAAAAATAACAACAATCATAATAGAAAAGGTTTCCTTGTCTACTTCTCAGCTGGCTGTCCCACATCAAACACAGCGCGCTTTGCCCAGGCCATGGCTGATATTTGTAGGTCACAGAGGTGGAACTGGACAGGAAATGCAAACCTGTCCCCATCACCTGCTCTCTGCCTCCCTCTTTCCCCCGGGTCGCGAAGAGACCCAAGGAGAGGAGCCCTGCTACAGGGATACAGTCATCTGGGTCGAGCCCTAAGGGCCCTAGTCTGGGCCACGCCTGCCATAACCTGCTCAGATACAGCTTCACAAACGGCTGCCGCGGCCCCAACTACAAGGTTAAGGGGTGGTGGCGCCCCTGGTGGGGGGGGCGCGGACCCGGCCTGACCAGGCCGCGGCCGCTCGCACTGCCCACGTCACCAGCTCCAGCACTGCGGAAATGGAGCAGCGCGGCCGACAAGAAGGGGGGCGCTGGGCGGTGCCGGCGCCGGCCCGCAGCCAGATGCCGTTTTTCCAGCAGCCAGGGCCCGGAGACCGCTGACAGCCAGCCGCCCGCCCGCGTCCCGGACCCTCACCTGTGTCGCCGATGATGATGTACTTGAAGAGATAGGCGTACGCCATGGCCGCGGCCGCTCAGTGCCAGGGCACACGGCTCCTCCTCCTGCTCCTCCTCCGCACCCTTCACCCCGGCGCCGCTCACGGTCGAAACGCCAAGCCCCACCCGCTGCCGCCGCCGTCAGCTGCCGGGAGTTAGTAGCCGAGAAAAAGCTGGACAAACTGACACCGGAGGAGCCCGAGGGAAGACAGCGCCTTGCCAAGCCCAACCGAACAATAGCCGCCGCCGCGGCACCTCCGCCCCGCCTCCGCGCCGACCCGGAAGTGCTGGGACCGCCGGCGCCGCCAGAGGAAAGGGGCGGAGCCCCGCTCCTCGGCCGCGGCGGCCGCGCCCGCCCCACCCGGCTGGAGCCCCGCACTCCCAGAGCCCCGCCCCGCCGCAGCTTGCTCTGGGCCAAGTCAGCCGCGCGGGTCTCCCCCGCCCTTCCGGAGCCGGGCAAGGCCCGGCTGCAGTCGTTCCAGCACGTTTGAGTGGGCTGGGAGACGCTGGGGGAGCCGAGGGGCGTTCGATTCCGTCGCCGGCACGCGCGCAGGCGTGGCCACCTTCCGCCGAATAGTGTGGGCTGGGGCTCTCAGTGGTCAGGCGGAGGTCGCGTTCGATGCAGGCCCCGCCTTGGGCTTGTGAAAGGTGCTTGAAAATGTGGGAGCCACAAGCACGGGGGTGGATGGAGTGATAGTATCTTCAGGGTTTGGTAAGGAAGCGTTGACAGTGAAAATGGAAATATTTGTAAATTGGAAACCGTAAGTCAGGGCGCCGTGGAATGCAGCGCTGCTCTTAATTTTTAAAAAATGAAGCCCGTCTTTGTGTTAAGTGAAAACAGCTTTCAGTTTTTTCAGAACTCTGCGTAATATTTTCTCCAATATGTAAAAAATAAGAACACACTTAAATACCCATATGTGCACTGACAGTCACTAAACAGGAGGAGATTGGGGGACCTACGCTCCAATGAAAATTTATGTGTGTGTGCGATTTGATATATTTTTTTACAGTGTTCAAGAATTAACTGTTGAAAAACACTTTTTTTTTTT